ACATTCAAAACATTAGCCATGAAAAAAAACATGTTTTAAACACGTTATCAATACAAAAATGCAACATAACTTACCTGTTGAGAACGTTTGTGTAAGAAGTTGGTCTGTCTTTATACACTTCCTGGTTTTGACCAGCCGTCTACGTGTACGTTGTGGTGGTACCCCGATCGATAGCCAGTTCTCTGCAGCGGGCCGGTTACGTGGAGTGTACGTGTGTATTTCACTGTTCATACCGATTACCTGGGTATACATTGGGGTCACCTACGGGTATGGATTATCAGTGAAACACTGGGTGTGCATCATTGATGAGACAACTATCCTCCCGTTGTTCCTTAGATACGACAACAACATTAACACGTGTGGTGTATAGTAAAAAAACATAGTACTATGCATTATTGATAGCTTCAATGTGAGAAATACTCATTATGTAGGTGATAAAGATCACAAAAACATCAATAGCAATAAGAACCTACAATTCATTTGCAAATGAAAATAACAAAATTCATTTAAGTCTAGTAAATAATGTAGTTACATAATAGGTAAACCGCCATTAAGAGAATTTATCTATGTTAGTGTATGCAAATTTACTAATCGTGTTATAATCTCTACCCAGAGTTGCGATTCCTACAAAGTGAATGTAAGGAACGACAACTCTGGAGAGAGGTTGAATTATGTTAGTATCTACCTACTTTAATGTAAAGGTACTTAAACTATCATAGATGTTTGAATGTGCCTAGATAGGAACATAACAGTGTGTCTGTGATGTGATAGTTTAGTAAAAGTTCAACATCACGTGTTTTCATTTAGTCAACATTATCATGGAAATATCTGCTGTGTAACAACTTTATATAAGAAAGAAAAGGGGGAAAAAATACCTAGAAATCATCACCATAGCAACCGATTATAAATAGTTACTTTATAGCAGTAACATCCAATCAGAAGTCATTTTCATTAAGCAGTAATTAATATCATCAAAAGTCATCGACGAACATAATCATACAATCAAAATCCGCTTACACAAAAGTTAGAAACAACTACCCTATGGTATCACCCAATCAGAAGGCACTATGAAGCGCAACAGCACAACCCAATCAAAAGTCTTCTTTTTTCATAACTCGGCCCACATCTTCTACCCACTCAACACTCTTTAACAGAAATTCTCTCTAAGAACGAGCGATATTATCAAACCACAGCCAGGAAAACACATAAAGTACACTCTGAGCTTTCTTAAAGACACGAGTAGCCCTACAAATAAAAACGAAATAAGTACTAACCTACTGCCGAGATGAGAAGAGAAACTGATCATGAAGGCCATGCAATATAAGGTAAGAGGACATCCGATTTGCACATCAGTGGAAAACGAAATACTTCATCACATTACATGTATGATTGTGGGTCAACGGAAGACAACTGTGTGTGTTCCTAAAAATTACATACGCTACTTGGGTGCACGTAAAATGGTAGAAAATAGACTTTTTATAACCATCAATTCAACATATATTTGCCAGGTGTTTATGTTCAAAGTAAGGCTACAATGTAACTCCGGGATCCGTGTTCGTTGACGTCTAAGACTCATGTTAGGCAGCACTTTACAAACGAGACATCTGCTGGGAAATACTACTGAACACCTAAAAGACAACCCCCTTATTTCAATCCTAGTCATCTTGCGATACCTTCCGGAATCACCAATTCATGCAGCCACAGAGAGAATGACAAAAAAATACACAGACTTTCCGAACATTACCAGCAAAAGCAAGATCTCATGGACGAAATATGGCACTGTTCTGAAGATTCTAGCCTTCCTCCTTTTTTGGAAACAACTGAATTCCTTGCAACTAAAAAAGTTCAGAGAAGAGCTAGCTGACACAACCGAGCGGTTATGGAACGATGTACATGGATATTCTCTTTTTCCGAGCAAAAATAATTTCACGTGTTATCTACCTAAGAATACTGGACGATGTATGAAAGCAACAGTCAAAAGTGGGTACTTTTCAGCAGATAAGGTGCGTATCAATTTCCCGGTACCTAGCCTGAGGATAATCATTTAGTTAATCGTTGGCGAGAGCTAAAGGTATGTCTTTCTCGAACCAAAATCAAATTTGAGTGTTATTCTCTTTGTCCAACGGCACATTGGAGGTTGCATTGCTTCTACTGTTGAGGTTGCGGCTTTCGATATGGAAATGGTTCGTCTGCCGAAATATCTTAGATTTATGAAATGGCACAACCCCAGTTGTCACTCGCATCAGTTTTGGCATTTTATAGTTCTTTTCCTTACCCTTTTACACAAATCGACGAAACAATATGGCATTTTTACAATTAATGTTGCACAGAAGTTTTAATATTTTATCACATACTTGTTGAATCTTGTTCTAATAGTATCACAAGCAATTTTCAAACCATGCGTTCTGTATTGCACATGTGCAATACGGAATGTTGTATTTACCTAATAGCCGAAACTACTTTTTATGGGAATCCCCGGTATTTGCAAAAAAATATCAAAGGTTATGAAATCTTTGTATCGATCTCTATCAAATACGAAAGGTATGTGATAAAAGCAAGACCACACACTTGTGTTTTTCTTACGAATCATAAAGCACTCATTTATTGCGCGGACTTACGTTATATTCGTCCGCGCAATAAACTCGTGCTTTCTGATTCGTTAGAAAAACACAAGTGTGTGGTCTATGGCTGTCCGATGAAGGACCAAGTTTCCAACGTCGTTCACTAACAATCTAAAATACCAATTAAAGCAACTAACCACAGAACAAACTCTTCCAGAGGTTAAGGAAATCCCACAAACAAAGCGGGGAATAAACCATGCATGAAGTGTATCAACTGTTTGCACGATAACGATCAGCTGATACGGTCACTCGTTACCACATGCAAATACGGTATATGTTACACAAACACTATCTCCGAGAAAAAACAAAATGTCTTGATTTGGGCTATCCTCCGTACTTAAAAAATCTTCTACTGCGCATCCCCGAAATTGCAGTTGTTACGTGCACTTACGTGCTGTGAATAAAACCCCTTGGATTTCGAGGATTTTCAGTGTGTCGCTTGTCCGTCACTGTGATCTCACGTTGCAACAACATTTCGAGGATACAGGCTGGTTTGTCCCCGATCAAGCACCGTTGAGACGACCTGGGCAGGAAGGTCAAGAAGTGCGTCAACGGCACAATCAACAAAAAAAGCGGGTCCTGCTTTAGAATTAGCTTAAAGTATCATCCCTCAATGGACAATAAACACCTTGGTGGGACCAATGCTTATGAGAAGCAAGAGCTGTCAGAGTAATTGGAAATGACCAAAGATGACCTCTGTTTTAACGCTATCAGACAATCTCCGGCTGTTACGTTGTTTAAATATAATAAGTTAGTCTGAAATTAATCACTAATAACGATTCCTTTTTTTTAATGCAAAAATATACTATCATTTACGTAACATCTGTAGCGTTACTTTTCCTGCATTTTTAATATGTGATTTAGGAAAGGTCGTGTATCCACACATATATATTTTACAGACATCAAATATATATACTAGTTAAGCAGATGGAATTATCGATATCATCAAAAAATCTACGTCTTTTTAAAGAGTTCTGAACATAAATGTGATAAATGCAGTGTTCAAACTTCACATCAACCGCAACTTTAGGTTTCACAAGTTTCTTTTAAACACATGTGTTCTCTTTCCTTAGACATAAAATTAAAAAATATATATACAACATTTCACATAGCGCCCTATCTAGCTAACATAGGCCACTCTAAAGCGCTTTACTGTACATAGATATACAATTTTATACGGTCAATACAATTAGCATATATATTAATCCATACAATATCGAGGAATTCGCAGGAGCTGCCTTATCAGGCGCTAACTTCTAGTCCTATGACACCTGGCTAATATCTCCCTCTGTGTGTATGCCTGTGTGTGTGTGTGTGCTGGAGATGTATTGTGTTCTGTTTGTAGTGGGACCGTGCTTCCAACGGTATCATTTATAGTACCACATAACTTAAATTCTACAGCACAGATACCGCAACACCCACCCCAGGCCATTTTATATTCCACCTGGGCTGTTGGAGTTGTTTTGGCATGAGAAAAACACTTTCGCTAAATATCCATGCGTACGACGACTACGGGGATCGAACCCCGGCCGCCTGCTTGGAAGGCCGGAGTGTTAACCACTCGACCAATCCGACATGGTATCCCTTTCTTCCAAAAATACATGTTTCAAACGGTTTAGTCTCAGTTATGGCTACATTTGTATTGCATTTTATGCATTTTCATATACAAAACAGTTACAATGTATAGGTTTCTCAAAAATAACAATATGTTGTGACCTTGTGTACAACACACATTTTTCTACGCAACGGATTGAATATTATCAAATTTAATTTTGTTTGATTTAGATGTTTAAAACGTATTTCGCATCCTTGCTGGAAATGCCCGGTATTTAATGTGGGAAAATAATTTGCACGATTGGCGGGCTCCGCTCGAATTTTTGAGAGAAAACTAAACAGTTTATGTTTTCTGATAACTTGTAGAGGGACCTTTTATATTCCTTGGTTCCATGCGATTACTTTTCTGCTGAACAATTCAAGGGACAAAAATTATGTAATTCCTCGTACGAACAGCGTCTCAATACTATAGCTACCTAGATCTAATCCATTTGGGAGTCTTGGTCTAATCACGGTATAAGATCAAAATTTTCATAAATATATGTAACACAAATACGTTCAAAGTACATCAGCCTGAAATTCTGTCAAAACAATAATTACATTAATACAAAAAAATACCTACAATATATATGTCTATTTTTGACACAACCAACTCAATCTTGGCAGGATATATATATGGAACAAGAAAGACAACTCGTGTTTGTAAAAGGTATTTTAATACCGGAACAAGTGTGACGTATCCAGGCTGGGACTGTTTGACAGCTGCTGTGCACAAAAGTAACTTCATGTGTGGCAACATTTCATGATGTAGGTATAATTGTCCGTGCCAACAATCGCGTAGCAGGCCTGGTGTGGGGATTGTTGTTTATTGGGTAACATGTCCTGTAATTGACATTCATCTAGGGATTTGATTACATGTGTATAATAGTATCACAGGGGCCTGCAGTGATAGTACCGTACTACCTGATCCCACCTCTCGGGCTATTAGTCCAACATCAGGACCCCCTGGAATGGGGTGCTGGATCTCGGAGGGGAAGGGCAGGACCCCCTGGAATGGGGTGCTGGATCTCGGAGGGGAAGGAAGAGTAGTACTGGACCTGTATTGTGTGTAAACTATTGATATTCATGTTTTCTTTTACCTATCGTTGACATTAATGGCAGTCTGTAGCTCCAGATACATGTGTGTGTAGTGGTATGTAACAGCACTGACCTAGAAAGCAGACGAGTAACAATACTGTTTAAGTAATAGTAATATCAATAATAAAATACTTTAAAGGAATCTGGGGAAAGTGGGGAGGGGGGTCAGCAACACATGATGTTAATTGCCAGCAGCTGCATCGATTAGGAAATTAGAACTTTTAATTTAAAGTTCAGATTCAGAAATGTTTCAACTGGTTGGTGGTTTTAATTTATTATATTTTACAGGTATAGGCAAGTTACATCAAAGATCAAGTCTTCTCTATGATGTATAAATGGTGACATTCAACTTTAGGAATAATGGATGTAAAAGATCAAGTCTTCTCTATGATGTATAAATGGTGACTTCAACTTGAGGAATAATGGATGTATATGTTCATGAAGATGATTTCTTTATGAATGACCTAGGAGAGCAGGAGTCAGAATCTGAAATGACAGATGAGGACTTTTTACTGCGGGCTATTGAGAAACATGATCTCGCAACAGCACAAAACCTTTTATGTATCAAAGGAGTCTCACCAAATTTTGAGCGTCGGGGAAAAAATCCAATTTGTAGAGTTGCCTACCTTGGACAAGAAGATATGTTAGAACTTCTCATATCAAACCAGAGTTTTCTGAGCAGGTCTTGTCATCGTGACTCCATGTGGCTGAGACAACCTATTCACCTGGCTGCCTCCAAAGGCCACCAAAACATTGTACAACGTCTAGTCGAGTGTGGGGTGGATATCAACAGCAAGGATTCTGACCACCGTACACCCCTTCACTGGACAGCAACATATGGACGTGTTGACACGGCTCAATTGCTGCTTCAAAAGGGGGCAGTGGTGAATGTGACGCAGACCGACGGATTCACACCACTTCATATTGCCTCTTGTCTTGGACATCTTAATGTGTGTAGGGTACTAATTGAGAATGGTGCCGAAGTGAATAGGGTCGATGCAGAGGGTTGGACAGCTCTTCACACCGCCGTGTGCTATGGTAAGCCAAAGGTGGTAGAATTGCTTCTCGAAAACCAAGCTGCTGTCAAAGCGGTAACCTTGGACCAGAATACAACTCTACATGTGGCGGCAAGTAGCGGATATCTAAGTGTGATTAAAATTCTACTGACACACGATCTGGATCTAAACCGGAAAAACATGCAGGGATTTACGCCATTCCACTTGGCATTTTATCACAGTAAGGTTAACGCTTGCAGACGGTTGATTAAACATGGTGTAGACATCCAGACATGTGACTGTAATGGTCAAACGCCTTTGTACATAGCTGCATCACAGATAAATGTGAAGCTGGTCCATATACTCTTAGAGGCAGGATATGACTTTAGCAAAGAGAAATGGATTCGTGACAAGAAGTTTCCATTTGATGTTCAAAAACAATCCCATCTAAGTGAACTGTTGATAGAGACTGCCAGCAATCCTAGATCTCTTCAGCACTTAGGATGTTTCAGGATTCGAAATCTTATTTCTGGGTATATTGTTCCAAAAGTAGAGAGATTGCCTATTCCCAAGAGCTTAATTGATATGCTTGCATTCAAAAGTCAATAATTTAACGAGGAATACAATTCTGAGAAAGTTTTTTGCTTTTGTTCCACAATCCAACAAGCATAGGTTCATCAATTAAAAAAAATATGCACCACCGTGAGATTCTTTTGATGTACATCAAATGATCAAACTAGTCTTCTCGTCTTGTCCCCAGGGTGCTGCACACAGAGCCTTCAATTTTGCTATGACATATTCCAGGATGTAGATAGCGAAAGTGAACGTAACCCCTGGATATCGAGGATGGCCTTACTGCTACAAGTAATCAAACTCAAAGCATATAGGGTTAAGTCAAACTGCATCCATTTTCTTCAACCAATCACAAAGCTGGAAAAGTGATCAGGACTTACAACAGTTGATAATATATTTTATTGGCTGAAGTAAATGACCTTCACCTAATCAATTACTTTTGCTTGAATTGTGCTGTGTTTGTAAAAAAAATGAATAAATCTGGTGAAGTAACACCCTAAAACTGTATTTTCAGTATTTGTGTTCTCATCAAATATGTTTGAAATAAACAATATACCTTCTTAATCCGGCAATAAGACAATCTTTTGTAATAAGCTCATCACTATCGGGGAAAATCCTGGAATTTGAAAGCAGTAGGCCATTTTCAGCAATTTTTAGCCAATACAAAATTTAAGAGGGGCTATTCTTTGTAAAATTAAAAGAAAATTGGAACATGGGGGGTCATTTTCATTTTTGAGTTGTCAATGGCCCAATATAAATAACTAATGACTATACATTGCAGTTCAATAGGATGAAATACCAACAAAAGCTTGTCCTGTGACAAGCCCATCCTCCTTCTTTCAGTTTTGTGTGGTCCCCCCTGGGATTATCGCAGGATAAATATGGTAATACTAAATGTATTACAAATTGGTCTTGCTGTGATACTCTTTTGAAAAAGAAGAAAGCCTCCGTCCTATTTTCAACTCAGTGATAACAATATACAATGAAAACAGATATTGCCATACATGCTACCTGTAACATGCAGGTCAGGGCAGGGTCAATCTGGTGGGTAAATATTTGACCAAGATGAACATTTGGACAGTGCTTCTTGCACATTTATTGAACACAAAGCAAGGTGTTACATGTTGTTAAAAACCATAGTACACTTCCATTTATGATACAACAATACAAATCAGGGTTTTGAATATTTAAATAATTGTCCTGTCAAAACAAACAATCTGACTCATTACTGGTCTGTTACTTGTACTTGTTCCTCTCCATTGCTAGATAACATGGATGGTTGTTGGTCATTGTCACATTGCAGAGCTTCTCTACATCTGATGCAATCCTTTTCTGTTGACCGAAGAGCTGCTTGCAGGTCCGGACTGAACTGTGTGGCCAGGTCAACTTCCAACATATGACAGCGCACTGAAAAAAATACCTGCATATCAAACTTCTTATTGGACTAAATAACCCTGAGCTTGTTTTCCCATTCCTCTGAAATAGTATGCATGTTACAACTATTTTATCAATAAAATGAAATACAGTTCAAACTAAAGTTGATAAAGATTCTTGATTGAAAACTATTATCATTATTATCAATGTTCAAGATGTCACAAGAAAAGATACATATTTTAAATTGTTCAGGTGCAAATTAGTGTCAAATGATAGACCGAGCCATCTGGTCATTTACAGATATCTCTGTTTACCCACCACTGTGTTTGATCATGACTTCCTTCAGACTGTTCAGGTCTCTGTTCATGCGGTCAATTTCATTCATTGCCACACTGTGGGTGTAATTTAGCAATTCTGGTCTGTGACATTGTGTCATCTCATTTTCTTCATCTTGACTACAATTGTAAAGTTACTGTATTGTTTTAAATAAATCAACTATTTACAGGTAAATTCATGATGGATGATACCAAAGCATACTTTCCGTGCCCTACCTTAATTAATTTGGTTCCTCAAATAAACGGACAGTAGCATTTTGGTTATTTTTTGTGCTCATGACAGTCTTAAAACCTAAGATGACATGGTGGTAGGGATCTCCTAAACCTTTTGGGAAACTAGTCTTTATGGACCTTTATTCGCATTATTTATCTCCCCTAGTTGTACATGTAATTCATAACATTTGTGGAACACTTGCTGGCAAGAACTCTACAGCTACTAATTAGAAATATTTATATATTTGGTAAGATGAAATATAGGATATTAGTGCATTATCATTTTTTGCCCATTTGCATCAGGATCTATTGCCATAGTAAATGATGGGTTTTTTTTCTAAAGACTGCACACAATTACATGTTTATGGTTTAAATTAATGAAAGAAATAGGATACATGCATAAAATTAGAATATTGACATTACCATGTTATTTTTTGTTCGTTCATTTATCCTCGACCGTGAATTAAGCCTAACTTACTAGGCTCCTTTGATTATCAAGATAATTTCAATTTCTAGACGATTCGGTAACCGGTAAAAATTTTGTTTCTGCTGAAAAATCTTAAAATATAAAACCAGCACATGTTGTACACATATGACACAAAATTAAAAACAGTTCAAAGCTGCAGCGTCCATCCAAGTACCGAAAATCTAACAAAATAACAAAACTATTTTTGGAGAAAACCGAAACGTCTCCGGGTAACGTTACCGCACCAAAAAGTCTGCTTACCCTTCAGCTTCATTCCGTGTATCTATTGGGTCGCTTACCTGACAGAAAAATGTTTCGAGACCACCCAGCAATCGAGCATCACCGTCAGAGGCCCACCAGGGGGCGCGATCCGTTATGACACAAAAACGGTAGGATTTGTTTTGTTAATTTTGTTTTATATGGTCAATGTTCATACATTATTTTAATATGACATGAAAGGATATACTTTGTAGATTCTATAAATATACGATGTTTGTGGTAACCCTGTTCTCAGAAATTGTGTGGATCGTTTTTTCGCCGAGTGATCCGCTACTGACGTAACAACTGTACCCTATCCACGGATACAGATTGAGATACATAGTTCATGTTCATTTTTTTTCTTATTTAGATATATAACTTAATCCAATACAACACTAAAAGGATGTTTACAGGGGTACCTTTTTCTCAGCGATCCACTGGGATTCGACATTGTATCCAGGTTGGATTTACCACCATCGACACTTTTCAACACAGTACAGTTGTTACGTCAGTAGCGGATCACTCGGCGAAAAAACGATCCACACAATTTCTGAGAACAGGGTTACCACAAACATTGTATATTTATAGAATCTACAAAGTATATCCTTTCATGTCATATTAAAATAATGTATGAACATTGACCATATAAAACAAAATTAACAAAACAAAGCCTACCGTTTTTGTGTCTATAACGGATCACGTTTGTCTATAACGGATCGCGCCCCCTGGTGGGCCTCTGACGGTGATGCTCGATTGCTGGGTGGTCTCAAAACATTTTTCTGTCAGGTAAGCGACCCAATAGATACACGGACAACTTTAAAGACGATATCTTAGTTAAACGCTTTTGCTCAACTGCTAAGTAAAATACAAATTCTTTTCCGAACGTCGGTCTGCTCAATTGTCCATGGGGTTCCAATTAATGAAACAAAATTGTATAACGTCACACTACCACAATTCTGAGAGTTTTGGACTGATATTGAAACTTGTTTGTATTTAAACTAGTTGAGGTGCCGACATCCTTGATATCCAGGGGTTACGCTCATTTACGCTCTCTACACCCCCTGGAAAATAGAAGACTCAGTGTGCGCCACCTTGTTGATGAGACAAGAAGACTAGTTCGACCCTTTGATGTACATCAAAAGAATCTCTCGGTCACGTAACGGTAAAAATTGACAGGTTTTGAAGTCGGTCATCTCAGTCTCCTTTGTAATCTTCAAAGGACAGGTATCAGCCTAGCGATTGGTCAGTATTTTTTACCTGAGACAAATCGTGCCTTCAGTTTTGCTATGACATATTCCAGGGTGTAGAGAGCGAAAGTGAGCGTAACCCCTTGCATGTATCAAGGATGAGGTGCCGTTTGCAACAAAGACCAGAAATCAACATTGAAACATGCTTATAATAAACATATTCAAAATCCTCCTAAATTTCGTCTACGTGTACGTTGTTTTTACTGGCTTTCTGATATGTTTACTTTGTCATCGTGTACTCTTAAAATGGTCCGTTTTCATGATGACTTTTGGTTATATGCTATATGTAATAACACCAATTCACTCAAAAGAAGGGACTTCAATAGTATATGTAAACTGAAAATGTATGTCTTTTTTATAATCCATAAATGAAGAGTATATAAAACAAAACAAAAAGGAGGAAAAAACGATGTCGACGCTTTCGTTTAAAATTGTTTGTGTTTTTTGTATTCATTGATATTGCTTTTCCAAATTTCAGGAGAAGTTTCGTGTGTCTACGAATCCTGTACGTAGTGCTAATGATGTGATGTCTGATACAGCGTAAACACATTAAACAACTGTTTTAATTAAGTATGCCTTTCTACTACCCACTGCTGTTCACGGGTTTAAGGCCCATTCCTCTCTCTGCCATTTCACATAACCAGGTTGCAATCGCATTCTCACGAATAGATAATATATTGTGTAGGTATTAATATTGTCTGACGTCCGACTGGGGTTTTATGGAGTGTTCCTATCTGTATTACAAAATGTCATAATAAGCTCATTACTAATTGTTTTACAAGTGAATACGTGTATCTGGTTTATTGGCCGAGTTTCACGACTGATCGGGTCTTGAAAATTTTGAATTTGAATTTGAATTTGTTATGTCAATGGGTGACATATGATCAGCTTGCCTGTTTTGCCCGATAGGGTATACGTAGGAACGCGTGAGAGTGTTCAGACTGTGAGAGAATGAGGATTTTACACCACGGAAATCACGAGAGCTGGATTGTCTGTTGCCTGGGTGCTTCGTCTACGATATGCTTATACTGCAATTTGTTCACATGTATTAAATGTTGCCGTTTTGATATAAAACTCGGAGAATGTGTTAGATTAAACATATCTGTCTAATCATAAAGTGTACACTCTTTATTAGTGTTTTTGCTAAAATAATACCTGTTCAAAATAATTAGGGAAGTGTAACAAAATCATGGAAGTCAATAATTAGATTGCTTTCCGTGACCAACTATATTATAATTATTACATTTCTTCGTTTGTCACATTGATTATTGCTTACGTTTATGGCCATATAAGTATGTGAATTATTTTTTACTAGCTGCATTATGGCTCTAAGTGGGTTTTTTATGACACTTAAGTTGGGGAATATCTTCCAAAAAAGCGCCCTCCCCCCCGGAAAATATTACATTTCTGTTCAGCCAACAAAGGAATTAATATTCAATATTATGCATGCTCTTTTATTACCATAGTTTGCAATAATGTTCACAATTTTAATATGATTGGGAGTGTATGTGTATTGAATATTTAAACGGTGTCCAGCTATAAGCGTTTTGCAAGTGTCAAACATCTGAGAGAACATTCCGAGATGGCCCCTGTGTTCGCGACGTCACAGCTCTACGTCACACCCAGTCAACTTTTCATTCAGTGAGCGTTTGACACGCTTGTTTACAAAAATCATAGTTTTATTATACGGTACTCGTTTGGAGTTTAATGATGTGCTTTTGGAGTCATGTTTTGGTCTATGACAATATGGATTTGAGAATTAATGGCCCGATTCAAGGTAGAGTAACAAGTTTGCCATGCTTTTGATATTGTAAACATGCTATTTTTGGTATCAAAATAATCATGTGACATGTTAATATATTGGGGCGAATAAAGGGTGATTTTGTTGTGCAACTACACAATTACCTGTTGTCTTGATCTGGATCACAATGTTTTCTTCTTCTGCTCTTCCAATTTTCGAAATCGCGTGTGCACGTTCAGTTATGTTCATACGCGTGCGTACCACGAAACACTGATCCGCTATAGACACAAAAACACAGTTCGGAAAAAGCTCGCTCATATTTGTAAACAGTTGTTACCTAACAGAACACTGAGTTTTCCACAAACAATACAACGTAATTCATCCATAAAACAATATTTCATTTGGCTAATATGGTGGTTTGAAATAAAAAACTGTTTTTTTCCTGAACCGGCCGTTTTCCAACATGGCGTCCACTAGGTGTGCATCGTATTGACAAAACAATGTTTTCGTGATTTTGCTGTTAATTTACTAATTACACTAAATCTTCAGTTTTTACTTTCAAGAATAAAACTATATTAACAAGTTTGTACATTTAATTTCCGTCTAGCTATGCTCATTTTAATGTAAACAGATTTAGTTTTCCGAGTGATCCGCTATAGACAATGATCCGCTACTGCCGTAACAACTGTATGACAGTCTCGGACTTTTTGGATAATAAAAAAATATCCATTCGCTCTTTGCATATTTTTGTATTTTCCGTGATTCTTAGATTATACCATTTTCACAGAAACATGTGTTACATTAATTTCACAAATAGTTTAAGATAATTTCATCCTATGAAAAAAGCAATTTTATTTAGTGCAATCGGACGAGTTCATTTATTTGATAGGGAGAGGGTCAAAACAACAATATTAAGGATGCGTATTCCTTTATTTCATCAATAAAAAATAGGCCTAACAACGGTTCATTTGAATTTCTGCGCTTGACATTGTAGCATTGAATTTTAACAACCACAAAAATAGGTAAAAAAATATAAAATCTCTCCTTTTGGAAATGATATTAGACTAAATAATTGTTTAGCCCTATACTGAAATTGCACCCTTTGTTACTTAAATAGAAAAAGCCTTTTAATTTTCTTTATCTACTAAAATCCCGATATAGAATGTTAATAAATATTGAAATATTTCAATGTGAATCCATGTTTGTTTCCTCCCACTTTAAGACCCCACCGTGCGCTAACATCCCGGCAAACAGGATTTATTAATATAAATTGTCATACCTTGTTTCATAATTGTTGTAAAAAGTTTATATTTATATCCATTTGAATTTCTTAACACTTTGGTCCTAGGTACCATTTAAACTTGTATGGAAACTGTCAACCAATCAAAATGCAGCAGTCTTTTTGTACCCGAGTACTCCACCTCTGAGACGTATATATACAAATGTATGTCTCTGTCCAACTGTACGCCATGAATTCCTTTAATGTGTCTGCACACGTGATATTTAAAAGATGTTCGTGGGCAACAGATTTTGAGTGATCACATGGGTAAAAATGTCTTGTTCTTTACTCATTCTATATATACGTCTCTATTTAGTATAGAGCAGTCTGCAAAAGCTCCTCTGCATTTCTATCCTCCCCCCCCCCCCGACATGTTTGGGTGGTAAATGTTTTTCCCTTGACCTAAATAGCAATTAAAGGATGTCACATGTCACACAAAAAAATAATGTTTCGTAATATTAGCCAACTAGGAGTCACATTTTTTTCACCCTTGCTTATCTTTCTCGTGTAAAAATAGAAGACTCACAGTCAGCTATTTGGTTTTGTTCCAGACATCAAACTCTTACAAATCACAAAGCTGATAGACTGAGTGTTTTGAAGATTATCAAAAAACTACTCTGAGATCTAAGCTATTCATATTTACCATTGCGTCGTTGCAAACCACTGTAATATTTTGTATGGTTAGAGAACACACATATATACACCTTTACTCTATGCAAAAAATATGAACTACTGCTATATACAATGCTACTATCTTTTAAGTGCAACCAATTAATGACAAATAACAATGCACAAATTAGTGTATTTCAGTTTTTATTAGGTCACCTGAGACAAAGTCTCAAGTGACCTATTGCGATCGCCTTTTGTCCGTCGTCGTCCGTCGTCCGTCGTCCATCGTGCGTCCGTAAACAATTTACATTTTCGACTTCTTCTCCAAAACCCCTGAACCAATTTCAATGAAATTTTGCAGGGACCTTCCATGGACAAAGGTCAACAAAAACAGGTGTCGGTTAAGTCCTAAGCCCCCAGGGGCCTGAGGGGTGGGGCCAAAAAGGGTCAAATTGACTAAAATTTCAAAAATCTTCTTCTCCAAAACCCCTGAACCAATTTCAATGAAATTTTGCAGG